GAATTGCCCATATTGTCAGATATAATAAAATTGAACAAAGCAGTACAGAACAAAGCTGCTTCACTCACATTTTTTATTCTTAAGTTATAGACCCTCTTGTCATTTCTAGCCTCTGTATCGTTACTTCCTGGTTCCTTGTTATTTTTAAAAGATTGTTCCTTTCAGGATCTCAAGCTGTAAACCTGTCTTCAAGATTTGATAGTCTATCTTTAGTTTCTTTCAAGCAGTTTTGACAGCTTTCAATGGAATTTTTAATTTCCTGGTAATCTCTTTGAATCTGTTTCATGTATTCTAAATTTTTTTATATTCTTCATTTAAGGTTTCCCTCCTTTTTGTATGCTCCTCTATTCTTCCATCTGTGTCTTCTTTAGAGGTGCTTAGCAATTCTTTTATTATGTTTCTTATATCTTCTTTTACCTATAATAGTATTTCTGTTCTAAGTTCTTTTATAGCTTCATGGAGTTATTTCTAATTGCTGTGGCTTCAGAAATTGCAGGTTTGCAACTCCCCATCTCTTCCATGTTTACATCTCCTGGACCAGTACTGCTTGGGTTGGAGGCCAGAGACTGCCTTTTGCTTCTTCCTCTTGTCATGTTTCTGGTTTCTTCTGGACAAGTGGACCTTTTAGCGAGGTCCCCGGCACTTTCTGTATTGGTTATAATTACTCTGAAATGTGTTGGCTAGGTATTTCTGCTGTTTGATGCTTTCCCCAGTCTGCTGGTGGCTACTGGAGTATAAGCAGAGACAGGGCAGGCTGACCCCTCCCTTCTGAGCTGGTTAATCACTGGGAGTCTTCACCACCTTAGTGTGCACTCAGCAGGTGGGATTGGTTAGGGATAGCTTTAGGGAAGACTCAGCAGTGGTTATTGGGCCACACACAGGAGCAGGACTCAGTCCAAGCAATTTCCATCAGTATGCTCCAAGCTAGGAGTGGCTGAAGGAAGCCAGCTGCAGTTTTGCCTCCAGGCTTCTCCTGCTCAACTCCAAAATGGTGGCCAGCCAATTGCCCACTCCCGTGGGAGGACTGAGTCCCCCACACTCACTGCCAGCCAGTGCAGTTCTCTGGTCTGCTGCTCCCTTTCACCACCACGTCTCCCCGCCAAGGCCTTGGGGCTTGCTAGCCACCAGCTTCACTGTGCCCATGCATCTCTGGGTTCCAGCAGCGCTTCTGGCACAGGGAGACCGGCTCCAGTGAAAGCGCTGCCAGCTACTGCCTTCTTCTGTTTAAGTTTTTCTTTGTTTTTTTTTTTTAATTCTCTGGTCTTTAATTCTCACTTTAGTTTATCCCTGGTTTGAGGGGACTCACTTCTTTCCTTCTTATCTTCTCCAGAATGCTATATTCCAACAACTGGATTGGTTCTATCAGAGAGGCTTTTACATTGCTGTTTACTATTCCACCATCTTCCCAGACTCCTCTGGAATTCTTTAATAAAATCATCTTTAAGCTTGCTAAATGTCTTACAAACTTGTGTGTTTCTTTTATTTTTCAAATATTTTCACCATTTAGTTTTATGAATTCTTTACCTTTAAGTTTCTCTGCTTCAGTGTCCATGATACCAGCTTTGGGGGCATTAAAGACTTTTGGAGGCATCTTATTGCCTTTCTTTCTCATATTTCTATTGTTTTTGTGTTATTGGTTGAACATCAGTTAGGGCAGAAAAACTGTCACTACTGTGAGGATGTCTCCAGTTTGAATCTGTCTCCCAGATGTATCATTTGCTTTGTTATATTTGTATTTATATCCTTCCTCAACCTCCTCAGCATAATATATGAGGATCTTGTTGGTGTCTAACCTTCTTCTGGGGCCTCTGCCCCTAGCACCACTTAGGAGAAAACAAACAGTGTTGGTGACACAAAGGTAAACCAGATGTTGGCATACAGTAAAAACCAATGAAAAGTAGCAACTGTGCTACCATTGACAATAACAAAGAAATTGCCAGTAATAATGGAATTAAAGGCAAACTAGATACTGACATATCATAAGAACTAATAAAAGCTAAACTGTGCACTCTTAACAATAGAAAAGAGATCTGGCATATATCATAGGCACAAAGACAATCCAAATATTGTCATAGAGTATGTAACTACTGAATGCAACAGCTATACCACCATTAACAATAGAAAAGAATTCAGCAATAATAGCATAGAGCCAACTAAATAGCTAAAAAGTAATAAAGTTTAATAATAATAATAATAAAGGAGGGGTTAGAGAAAGGGGAAATGAAAGGTAAAATTTAAAAAGAAAAAGAAAAGAAAAAAGAAGTGAAATCTAATTGAATAAAAAATAAAACTAGAAAAAGTTAATAGAAAAAAAAAGAAAATAGAATGAAACAAAGCAAAAGAGGTCAAACAAACACTACCAAAAATACAAACATAGGAAGAGAAATGAGTCAGAGTATCCCTCCATGTGTTTGGGTGAGTGTTTTCTTTCCAGGCCTATCATACTGGAATCTCTGCCAGACTGGGGTAAAGAGTGGTGAGTCACAGTGAGGGCATATTTCGTTTCCACTGTACCACGCTGACAATAGAAAAGAATTCAGCAGTAGTATCATAGAGCCAACAAAGTAGCTAAAAATTAATAAACTTTAGTAGTAGTATTATTAACTTTTATGTAAGTGCTGAGTTGTGTCTGCCTGACAGTTGTATTAATGCTGGCAGGTTTTAGTGTTTGTGTCCTTCCATGTGCCCTAGTCACTGTAGTCTTCCTAGCTTTACGGCTTACACACATGTGAGGTGCCACCTGCGCTCTGGCCTAGAGGCTCCACCTTGGTATGTGGCAACCTTCTAGTCCAAGGCATGTGTATCATTGGTCGTGTTGGCAGATAGGAAGGCGAGCAAACCACTGTGCTCTGTCTGAAAGTGAGTGACTTCATGCTGCCTCTTTCAGACCCAGGCCCTTAGGAAAATGCTCAGGACAAACCTGGCTTCTCATCACAGAGAGTGGGGCCACTGTATCCTGGCCTGAGCTCACAGGTGCTTAAACTTCTCAGGGTAGCTACCACTAGTTTGCCCACTGTCCACGACTGTCTCGTGTGGCCATTTCCCACCCATTCACAGTGACTGAATGACTCCAGTAATATAAAGTGTGATTATTGTGTCACTTCTGCTTCCTGGAGTAGCTCAGTGTTAAACAATTAACCCCTTCCCAAAATGGCTCTTGATTATCTCACTCCCATATATGATCAGCGCTGCTGTGGATTTTCTTCTCTGGCTCTAGCCTGCCCTGTGGAAGGAGTTACTTTCAGAGCAAAATCTCACACATAGCTTACAGTAGCCATGGGCTTTTCTTGGTACTGGCAGTGCTGACCCTCTTGGGCTTACCATGTGCTGTGGAGCCATATCCCCCTCCCTGGGAGCTGTGGGTGGCCTTCCAGATATTTCTTTCCCCTTTCTTTATTCTTCAGTTTCCCTGTCAGCTCTTTCCTGATTTCTGGAGTTCTTTTGCTTTTTGCTGAGTTGTTTTCTAGGAGTCTTGCTTCCAGGTCCTTGAGAGATTGTGCTGGGGGTCTTTATTATATCATCAGAGGTGCCACCAAAATATAGTCTATGTAGACATTCTTATGCAAAACATATGAACTGATTTATCTATTTCTGATTGTGTACTTTGATGAATATCTAGAAATTTGATTAAAATCACTGCTTTTTTTTTTCATCGTCTCAAGCTTGACTTTCTTTAAACATATTGTAGTTGCTATATGGGCTGTATGGGAGAATGCCAGTCTCTAGCAGGTCTGCTTTCCCTTTTTCCGCTTTCCCATAAAAACATGTCTCCTTCCATGCATGATTATGTGTGTGTTCTACTCACTGTCCTTGAAAAATCACTTACGAAGATTCCTTGAATACGTATGGTAAAGTTGCCTCCCTCTAGAAGTGTTTGCTGCTGCTAGGTTCTTTAATACATTACCAATTTGGAAGCATTTTAAATTGGGCTAATAGGCTTAAATTTCTTTCACCATCTAATGTAATACAAATTTTCTTAACATGTTCTTCTGCAACTTAGATTAAGATTAGTGTTGTCTAGGGATCAGGGGTGTCGGGAGAGTGTGGGTTTGGGGCTGTACGATGGAATCTGATAAACTGAGAGTTTTGCATCTGGATGGTGGTTGTATGATACTTATTTGAAACTGTACATGATAGACATAGAGTTGTGATAAACACCTATACACTTATGTGTGTATATTGCATAAAAGGATACATAAAATACGCACAATGAGTGCTTGTGTAATTGGTCAGATCCTGGTAAGCTCTGTCGATTGTTCCACTGTCAGATACATGTCTTTATATTATGCTATTGTTAGACAGTATGTTGACATTGGAGGAGGCTGAGTGACTGGTACGTAGGATTTCCCTGTGTTTTTCTTGGCAATTATAGATGAAGCAATAATTACTTCAAATTGAAAAGCTGAGAAGTTGTTTCTTATATCTTGAGTCTTATATTTTCTAGTTTGAGAAGATGTTTAAATACCTTGGTTTTAAAGCAAAAGGACTTTACCATAGGTCTTTTCCAATTTTACTGAGTTTGAAGATTGCATTACTGTTAGTGTTTACATCGTTCTTGCAAAGTAGCTTTACGTAAAGGCAAGGTGTAGGAATGGAATGTGCATTCATCTAGTCATGAAACAACTGAAAAAGTACCAAGTGTTACCTGCAATGTAGGAACCCAGCCCAGAAAAGACTGATGTGAAGGGGCAGAAAATCTGGTTTCCCAGGGTACTCAGGTACCAAAAAAGCCTTGCCTTGGAGAAACAGAAGTGCTCTTTCTCAGTGTGGATATTACAGGAGGAATGGTAATAAAACTTAAATGCTAAACTTGAACGATTGTGGGATACAGATTGTTACGTTTTTAAAACTTTTTATTAGTATGTATTTGTAATAATAATTGCTTTAATTTGGGAAGTTCAAGTTGTTAGTTTTCTATAGTAACTATGTTTTTACTTGAAAAGTTTATATAAATGTTTTTTCACTTAAAACATTTTATATTACAGGAAATAAATATTAATATGGAGAATGATATCAACTGTGAGTCATCATCCTCTGCCTTTACTCTTCAGAGTTCTTCAGAGACAATTTTTTCTATTCAGCTGTTAGATTTCAAAACAAGTTTACTGGAAGCATTAGAAGAATTGCGTATGAGAAGGGTGAGCTCTTTTTTGAAAAAAAGTTTGAAAACTAGAGAACATGATTTTTTCTAGTTTGTTTTTCAAGGGGAAAAAGTCTAACAAAATAACCTCTCCTTTAGAAAGAAAATATACAGTCCAAATAGTGAAGTAAAAGCATACAGGACAGATTAAGTCTGCTGATCAGCCAGGTATGGTGACACATGCCTGCAATGGCAGCAACTGGGAGGCTGAGGCAGAAGGATTGCAAATTCAAGATTAGCCTGGGCAACCTAGTGACTTAGTGAGACCCTCTCTCAAACAAATAAAAAGGGCTGGGGATGTAGTGCAATGCAAAGACTTCGGGTTCATTCCCCAGCACACACACACACACACGCACATGCACATGCACACGCACACACACACACACCAATAATCAGGAAATGGGAAATAACAAAATTTGGAAACTAAGCAGAGTAATACAGATTCTCAGATTGTTAAATTTTGATAATCACTTACTATTTATTGAGTCTCTGGGAATGCATGAATAGCACTATAGTGAGACATCACAGCTGCTCCTGGCAGATTATATTTTCGTGAAGTTTGCACCTAAGAAATGATTAAATAATGAAACAAAGCAGAAAATAAATAAATGATATAATAAATGTGTGTATTAAGTATTCTGAGCACAGAAAATCAAATGTCCTCATTTTTAAGTGGTCATTCAAATAATAGCTCCTTTTTAAAAGGAGCTATCTAGTGTAAAATTGTAAGATTCTAGTTTTATCAGGTCTGTTTTATGCAAATCACCTAATATAAAGCATTTCATTTCTGGAATTGTATTATCTAAGTTTGAATGGTACTTTTTAACTCTGTGTAGAATAGATTGGAGCTGGTATAGGACAGAAGAAGATAAACAGTAAAACTTATAGCATTGATTTAAGATGCAGGGAATGGGATTTACACAGGATGGGAAGACAGAACAAAAAAGGCAGAAAGAAAAAGTGATAGAATTTGTCAGCTTCCTCAAAATAAGCTGTAAGTGTGAGAAAAAGATCTGAAATAATTAATTTTACTATAAGATGAACTTTGGTCTGGGATTTCAAATTATTGAAATTTATTGATATAATAAAATTTAAATAATACAGTGTTTATCTTATATAAAGCTACTTGTTAGTGTAACAAAAATCTGTTTAAAGAAAAAATTCTACAGCAGCAGTGTATCTTGGATAAGCATCATTAAGAAATATTTTTTACAGAATTGGCTTAAAATGTCACTTTTATTGAGTGAAACAACTTTAGGCTAGTATCAAAAATGTACATTCTGTTGTTGTTTGAAGTACTGGGGGTTGAATTCAAGGCCCTCACACTGAGCTACATCTACAGCCCTTTTAATGTATTTATTTTTCATTTTGAGGCAGAATATTTTCAAGTTTCCAAGGCAGGGCTCAAAATTGGGATTCTTCTGCCTTAGCCTCTCAGTGCGGGGATTTCAAATGTGTATACCATACCTGGCTATACTGTTTTACTGTGTTTCATTCATTCTGTTTTATATTTCCAACTTAAAAAGTATGTTTCTTTTTTTTTAAATCTGAAAAATTTAGGTTTAGCAATGGAATAGTGGGTGGGTGTTTGTTTTTATTTAAAAAATTATTCCCCAAAGCTTCATTTTACTTAGCTTTTTGGAGCTCACCTTATGCTGTCAACACCTTCACAATAATTTTCTGCTCCTTAAGGAAAGTGTGCTTGATCCTATTGTGGAAGCATTTGGCACACTTGGGAGTTCACCAGAGGCCTGCTGTTCAGTTTTTCCTTCAAGAATTCAATTAAGGGTCGGGGATTTAGCTCAGCAGCATCAGCAAGCACATGTGCCTGGCAAGCACATGGTCATGAGTTTGATCCCTGGTACAAAAAAAAATTAAATATTCATTGAATAAATGCTTTAAGGAGGATTTTAATCTGAAAATATAATAGTGTCAAATATTTAGAGGGCTGTCACACAAAGAATGAGGACTTGTTCAACATTTCTTCAAACAGTAAAACTTAAAGGAAAATACAGGCAGCCACCAAGCTGCAGGAGAGCTGTGCAGAAATTATATCACTTATCCCCACATAACACATTCCACATCTAACTTGTCCTTCTGTCTGAAAGAAGATACTGAAACTTGGTATTTCCTGCGATCATTCTAGTTGCACTTTCATAGCATGCTCTCCTCTGCTTGCAGTGGATATACTCATACTATTGGAAGAACATCTAACATCAACAAACTGGTTTACTCTGGAAATGTCTGTTCCTCAGCCACATTTTAGTATTCTTCTTCAGTGATTCTTGGGAGGCAGAAATAAAAGAGAACATATGTACAGACTAACACGGAAGATGTGTGTGCTACAGGCTGTCTTTCTCTAGCATAATAGTGTGGCCAAGCCTGTGACCAATTTTGGTAAATATCCCAAAACTGTTGACTTTAGAAAGCGTATGTAGCCTGTGTTTCTTGGAAAAATGTTTTGTGAATATACTGATCGTCTTGTTCAAATCTTCCTTCTTCCTCTCCATCATTACACTCTTCAGCTCATCTAATCATCTTGTAGTCAATCTGTTGAGTTCTTAGTTTAAAATTAATATTAAAATTAATGTAAAAATTTCCACTCATCCCCTCTGTCATAATTTTCAGTTCTCTGCTGAAACACATGTTGTCATCAATTTCACAAGCCTATCAATCACATATATTTAAAGTCTTCCAATAAACTCCAATTCTGGACCTTTTGTAGATCCATTTCATTTTCATTCTCTTTCTTGATATTTTTTCTCCCTTAATTTTTGGTCATTTGACCTTGTATCTTGTAATGTACAGTGCATTTTGATGGAATGTTTGACTTTATTCATAAAAAATCGCAAAGATAATTTGAGGCTTTGAATGAGAGATTTACTTTTGCTTCTGAAACCGGAGTTGGACAGGTCACCTTACTAGTCAAAGGCTGAGCTGACTGGAGGTTGTTCCCCTTTTAAAGACTGGTTTATATCCATTGTCTCTGCCTAGAGTGTAGCTCTTTGGGCTTCGAACTAAAATCCTAATATATTTGCTAGGGTTCCTCCTTGGTGAGACCTGAACACAAAACCCATCTCCACATGACTACTTGTGGATCTGCCTCAGTTTCTCATTCTCTGATGAAATATCGATTGCTATCAGCATCACCTTTTTATTCTTCCCCTCTCTTTGTGAATTTGGAGTATTCTGAATCATTGGACTTTTTTGCAAGATAATGAAATTTGATCTGGAAGTGATCTGAGATAGCTTCTAGTGCAACTTAAGCTCGAAAGACTAAATACGAAACCTATACTTAGCTCTCCCTATTCTTTTCAAACGCTCTTCCACTAGTGGATAATAGCAAGTTACCAGAAGGCATAATGTAGCCAACAAACATCAAGCTATACAGTCAAGGGTTAATAGTTTAAAGCTTTTTAAAAAGGCATAATATCAAAATAAAGTCAAAGTTTTTTTTTTTTTACTTCCCTGTGTTTCATGACTTTATTGTAATGAACATGAGTGGGCAGTACTCATTTTTGTCTTTCTGAACCTAAATTGTTAATGATATTTGAAAAAATTGAATGTGGAATGTTTTCAATTAATAATGATATACAAATTAACAGTATGATTCAATAAAATAGTTTATATTGAATCCATAGATGTGTACTTTAGAAGTTAGGTGCTATTTCTGATAAATGCTCTCATCAGATAGATTCACAGATTAACTAATATGGAAGAGAGATGGTCCATAGTAATTACAGAAGTTACAACAAATTTAGCTTTCTGTAGAATTTAGATAGTTGGCATGTGATGTAAGTAGAGATCCTGTTGAATTTAAAAGCCTGTATCTTCTTGAGGAAAATAATAGATATGCAAATTTTAATGTGAAATCTGTTGGATTCTAAAAATTGGAAGTGAGTTTAAAGTCTCTAAACAAAATACATTTCTGATGCAAATCATCTGGCAGTGGGGATTATAGACCTCTGCCATCAGGCTTTTATTTTTTTGTGGTACTGACGATTTAATCCTGAGTCTTCACACTGAGCCATACCCATTCTCCTTTTTCTTATTTTTTATGTATAGACAAGGTCTTACTAGTAAGTCAGAAGTTTCCCAGTCTGGGTTTGAATTTGGAATCCTCCAGCCTTAGCCTCCCAGAGTGCAGAGAATACAGAGATAATCACACTCAGTTACCATGAAGCTTTTAAACTATTAAGATCTGCATTCATCTAGTAAACTTTAGAAACCACTTTTTCTGTCTGTAGTAGAGTCAAAAGTTTAGTAAGTACAGCATGCCATACTAATTACTAACTACATTATCACAAAGTAAGCATCAGGTATCAGCATAATTATGAAGAAACAGAACATATTAAAGCTATTAGATATTTAAATAGGCATAAGTGGAGCTTCAAGTAGTCTAAAGTAGTGATTTTTTGAAGAAGTCATGAGGGAAAACTGGGCAATTACTAGTATAGTGTGATAAATAACATGACGGTGTTTCAGTGCCCCATAAAATCAGTTTTTCTGTGTGGAATCATATTGCTTTCTGATTATAATTGAAGAATACGCCTTTATCCTACATGGAAAATTGATTTAAATGGGTGTTAGCCATATTGCCAAAAAAAAAGCATGAATATATGCTTCTACTATGTTAGGATTTTAATTTAACTTCATGCTTTTTATTAAAAATTGTGCTTTCAATGGAACCTTCATTTTCCTTTTATTCATTCTTCAAGCAGATTTTTAAAGTTTTTAATAAAAATTCCTGTGAAATTGTGAATGAGAAAGATATATTAAATTTAGTAAGAAAATCCCATCTGTAACTTCAATAAAAAATCATAGATTACAGAATCTTAAAAGTGTTTATTTTTTATTAGATGCCTTAGGACTACAAGAATTTAAGTGTTTCTACAAAAACAATAAAAGAGGAGTAATTTGATGGTTTATTTACTCTTTATAACCTTTAGAAAGTGTCATGATTTTTTAAAGTGCTTGCTTCAGGCTGTAGTTTTACAAGATGGGCTGTGTGTTGGTCAGACCTCTTCAATTCCTGACCCTGAACAGATTTAGGGACACAGTCAGACAGCAGGCACATGTCCAAGTAGCATGAGCTCTAACGGGGCACTTGGACTCTCCTTTCCAAACCCATAATCCACTCCTACAGAATTGCTCAGTTCATTTTCTCCTGGTGTCTAACAAAACACTAAGTGCTCTCCCAAATAGTTTCTTGTTCCAGTTTCCTAACAAGTACTCATGAAAATTATCTCTAATAGTCGTGGGATAGCTTACATGTTCATTTTAGGAAAATCTCTCCCAGTAGCCTTTAAAATGCTGTTTTCACATTAGTGAATTAATCTCCTACGTTATGAAGATTTCTGATACAGAAAAATATTAGTATTAAAACATTCAAAGCAGTTCTCAAATTCTTTTTCATGCAGTGCAAATTTGTAGTTTTTATCTTGAAATATTCTATCAAAAATCAGAATGTACTTGCATATTTACCATAGGTAAGTGATTTTGAATGCTGTCATAATTTTTGTGGGATATGAAGTCCAAATTCTGATGTTCCTGAAGGGGAGGAGAATGTCATAACAACTTGCTCTTCCGTAGCGTCCACCGTCTCCTGCAGACAAAGTACTGCAGTATTTAAGAGACTGTGGAAAAGGTGAGACTCTGGGCTTAATACTAGCTCTGTTGTGTGACTTTGTGCAAGTTATTTATCCTATTGCTACCTCAAGTTCCTCATCTGTAAAATAAGAATAGTTAAAAATATCTGCCTTGTAAAATTGTACCCAGGATTAATCAATTCATGTAAAATACTTAGAACAATATATAGATCATGGGAAGATCTCAGAACCTACTCTGGTACTTCAAAGAAAGTATATAACCACACCTACGTGAGTGTCTTGCCCATTTTCAATCCATCTGCTTTGGGAAAAGATGTGTGTAGTATGCACAGCAATAAATGTGTATGTAATTATTCTCTTAAATTCAAATTTGGCTATAATATCTCAAATTTGGCTTTGTTGCCAGGCCAGGTTTTCTGGCCTTGAACTGAAAATTTTCCTGTCTCAACCTTCTGGGTAGCTGGGTTTGCAGGCACATTTCACCGTGCCTGGCCAGTGTGTTTTGATTCATGTCAAGAGAATAATGTGTATTGTATACAACTGCAAGAAATCTTGATTTCACCTCACCCCACTTCCACATAGTAGGCATTGCTGGTATGCATTTTCTCACCTTCTGTGGTGGGAGACCCCTGACTGTATCATAGGGCTCCCTTCTCAGCACTGTAGGTCAGGTAAGTTCTCTGGGTCCAGTCATCCATGAATGTCTAGTGTGTGTCCTCACCGATGACTGGCCTCAGAGTGAGCTGGTTATGGCAGTGAGACTAGAGGATGTGTGTTGAGAGGCTTGTATTCTTTTATTAAGGGAGTGCACTCTTTCTACTGCAGGTTACTCTCCTGTCTACTCCCAGTGCTGGCAGTTATGGTAGCCATTCTGCAGCCACAAGAGATAGAAAGCCTAACAAAAATTACTTTGATAGTGGCAGACTTGAAAGATGAGCAGAGTTGTATCTCTTGATGATGCTGTTGAGTTAGCCACTGAAATGATCGTGTAGTGCTCTCTCTTTAGTCCCCTTTTCATGGGAGAGAATTCCCATGAGCTGTGTTGGGTTTTGCTGTTACTCGCTGCTGAAAGCATTCTGAACGAGACAGCCTTCCTGAAAGTTTGTCACTGAGTAAGATAGCATAAATGCGTGTGGCTGTGAACGTACGATGAATCCACAAGCAAAAGAGTTCGTTTAAAAAAGCAGAGTCCACTTATGTCCTTTCTTTGACCTCTCTCCAACATTTTGTTATGAAAACTATCAAACATACAAAACTGGAAGAATTTTACAGTAAATACTGTAAAATTTTAATGTTTTACTGTACTTGTTTAAATATCTCTTTTGACTTTGTTCTTTTGATTTCTAATTATAGACATCAATTTAACTCCAGTATTTCCTACCTACTAAGTACTTTAAAATGCCTATAATTGAATGTGCTACAGTGAATGTACAGTGAAATCTATAAATCTTTCCTGTACCTTTAATGAGTTTGACAGACTTTTAGGCTTAAAGAAAATCTGTATCAAAATATAAAATGTTTCCATCAAACCATATCTCCCAGGCCTCTTCCTAGACAAACTCTACTGCTCTTCCCTCCCCAGAAGGTAACCACTCCTTTGATATTTTCTCACACTCAGTTAGTTTGTTCTACCATTTCATAGAAATGGACTCATGAGTTACATGCTGTTTTAGGTAAAGGTACTTACCCTCTGTGTGTCCTAGTCCATGTATGTTGTATTAGCAAACATCCCACTTACGGTTTCTAAAAGAATACACTTCAGTATTTCATTTCCTCTGGCTTGACTTAAAAGTTTGGTTTCTCCATGTTCAATGTTGGTATGTAGAAAGGGTTTTGTGTGGGTATGTTGTCTTACTTACCCATGCAGAAGGTTCTGTGTGCCTGCTGCACCCCAGAAGCAGTAGTCAGCAGGCAGGATGGTGGTGGGGAAACATTGTCGGGGAGCCAGCTGATTGGAAAGTGGAGGTCATCTTCCTGAGGCTGATTAGGACAAGTACTAGGGGAGACTGGGTGGCTGCAGCTGGCGGGCACCTTCTCCCACACGGAGTCATGTAGCCGATCGTGCAGTCTGATCTTACCCAGTCATAAAATGTTTCTCGGTTCTGTAACTCAAGAGCAAGTGAGATAAAGATTGTTTTTTAAAATAAAACATATACATAGAAAAATAATCAGAATGAGCTACACCAAACTAAAGTTTCTGGAAGTACATTTGAATTCAATTTATCTTGCTCCTAGTTTTCTATATTCACATTGAATAAATGAACAGCTTTTAAAATAAACTAGTATAATTTAAGAAATTAGTAGCTTAAAACATCCAAAAAAAGAAAAAAAGCTCATTATTTCCTCAGACTGTTCTTGTCACAGATTAGTTTGCTCACTGCAGGTTCCGCACACAGTGGAGGGGGTTGCTGCCCAGGCACTAACCACCAAAGTCAGGAAGGGCAGTGTCTTAGTTACTTTTCTCACTTCTGAGACAAAATACCTGATTCCCAAAGTTAAGGGAGATAAGGTTTACTTAGCTCACAGTTTATAGAGGTTTCAGTCCATAGTCTGCTGGCCCCAAGGGCAGGGTGGCACATGGCAGAGGAGCAACAGTTCATGGCAGTGGAAGACAGCAGAAGCAACAAGAAGAGGGAGATGGGACAAGGGGACAAGCTCCTTTCTGTCCCTTACATTGTTCAGGGGTAGCACTCACACCCTTAATCCCAGCACTGGTCCGTGAGTCACAAACTGGCCACTTCTGAGAAGCTCCACTCCATGACTGCATGGGGCTTTGGGGGACATCTGGACATGTAGCGGGGAGAAAACACACTTCACCTGGTGGTTTTGAAAGACAGGGGTCTCATGAGGTTAGGAATCAGATGCCAGACTGGTGTTGGCACACAGCTTCAATGTGACTGCCATGGTCATTATTCTGGGAGACTTTGTAGGTTGCTTAGAGTTTTCTCAGTGTGCATGCTGTCATTGGCAAGTAGACAGTTTCATTTCTTCCTTTCTGGTCTAAGTGTTTGTTTTTCTCGCGATGGTCAGACTTCTAACACTGTGTGGAACCAGAGCAACAGGAACCAACATCCCTTCGTTGTTCCTGATCCTAGAGCAAAACTCTTATACTTTTCTCCATTATATGTAATTTATGTTATTTGTAGAGTCTTTTTAAATGCTCTTTACAAAATGTAAAAGTAATTTCCCCTATTCTCAACTTGCAGAGAGGTTGTTTTTGTTTTTTTTAAATCATGAGTGCACATTGGATTTTGTCTACTGTTTTTTGGGTGTCAATTTAAATGTTTAGCAAAATTAAGTGAAATAGTTCTGGTGAGGAGATTTTTTCTGAAGGGTCTTTAAAGAATCAGACCATTTGTTTCAAATTGAGAATGTAAACATGTTTTGTGATTAACATTCTCTTACTACTTTTTTAGTAACTGCAATATTTTGTGCATGATTTCCATTAGTTATTTGAGCATATTTAAAATAGTTGATTTAAGATCTTGGGGTAGTAAGTCCACTGTCTGGGTTTCCCTGGAACCTTACTGTTTCTGTTTCCCTAAAAAGAGCTGAACTGGAATGGCTCAAAGTTTTAATGTTCATAACATTATTTTTTTTCTTTTTAACTCAGGAAGCAGAAACCCACTATGAAGAACAGATTGGTAAAATTATTGTGGAAACGCAAGAACTTAAATGGCAAAATGTAAGTATTTCTCCCTTCAAATTAATGTTCTAAACATCTATTAAAAATACATTCTAATTCTTACTACAAAATTTCTTTTAGCAGTACTAGGAATCAAAGCCAGGGCTCCTCTACCACTGAGCTATACCTACACCACTTTTTATTTGAGATAGAGTCTCTAGTTGCCCAGGCTGGCATCAAAACTTGTGCTCCTCCTTCCTCAACCTCCCCAGTAGTTGGGACTACAAGTAGGCACCACTGTGCCTGGTTTTTACTGAAAAAAATTTAAATTTCCTAAAGCTATCTGGGGCTAATGCCTTATCTGAAGCAAGGCCTGAAGAAAATTTCAACTAAAACTGTTGATGACATTTAGGCTTCTAGAAAACTGGGAATAAAAATTTTGTTTAGCCATTCTGATATTGTAGTATTGAGGATAACTCTGAAAAGTCTTTTGCTTTACATCTGAGAAATGTAGTGTATACTATGAGAACAAGGACATCTTGAAAGCAGTGAAGGCTCAGAATTCACACCATGTTTTCCAAGGGTGGTGTTACAGAATGTAACCAAATTGACAGTAAATCTCGGTTCTGGTTTTCTGTGTAGCTTTGTTTGTACTGAGGCACTTTGGTGCCTTCTCATACCTTCCCCTTCAGTGCTCTCACCAGCTACAAAGTGAACGCTTACAGCTAACAGGTGAGACCAAGAACTCCAATGGCAAGTGTAGACCTAACTAAAAATGGTTAGAAGTTTGAGACTGGACAGACCCACAGGATTGCACATCATGTGGGAATGAAACAAGGCGGAGATCATACAAGGTCTGTTTCATATTTGTCAGTGGAAGGAACAGGTAAATACTTAGTAAAAACCAAAGCTCAGAGTAGATTTCCAACTAAAATCGTATCTGTTTTTGGTTGTTTGGGTACTTATTTTGAGACTGCGATGTTGCCATATTACTCAAGCTGTTCAGCTTCCAAGCTCAAGAGATACCCTGCTTCAGCTTTCTGAGTAGCTGGGTCTTTGGGTGTTGCACTGCACCCAACTGCATCTTACCACTGGGCAGGGAAAACCAACAGTATAATGTTACCAGAATTCCTGTGTTAATCACTAAGTTTAATGCAATCTAAAAGTGCTAAGAGCATATTGGAAGTACTTAGGCTGATTCTACGGTTTATGTGGAAATACACATGCAAGCGTGGCTGGGAAAGTTTTAAAAGAGAAGAGCATTAGATAGCCACTGATTCTTAAACATGTTATTTAGCTATAAAAGTTAAAGTAGCTCTGTTGTATACATGAAACATGTATACTCAGTGAAACTGAATAAATCCAAATACGTAAAGATAATCTAGTGAATGTTAAAGATGGCTTTCAAATTAACAAGCACGGATGGTATTATTCAATAAATGTATTAGAGTTGGGCTCCATTTGATGAAAAAAGCTAGATTTCTATGCTGCTTTATGAACTTGTACAAACACAGAAACTGTCCTATGCTGTTGGCATTGTAGATCCTAAGTATCTTGCTGTGTTCTCCCAAAGAGTACCAGACAACTTGTTAGAAAGCAGCTATGTTCATTAGAACCAAGGTACATGAACACGCCACAGGAGCTCACTGTTTTGGTCAGAGCACATTGGAGGGGATGTAGATGTATAGGTCTACGTGCAGATGGCTTTCGGCAGGTCTTTTAAGACAGGGTGTGGACTGGGTTTGGAAACCTTACAGTGTAAAGTTAGGACAGGTGAATGTAGCATCATGAGGGGCTTGAAGCTAGTTCTGAGACTAAGCTGTTGCTTGGTAAGCCAGGTGTTTAACCAAGTAAACTGTTGTCTCAGATAAAACTGCAGCAGTTGTCTAAGACAATGATACCATTTTGTCGTTTTTATTGGCTGGACAAAACCTTCCTAGAACAAGAAACTGAGTCAAAGACACAGGAATTCTCAGCTTAGTTCCAATAGCTCAGTTCTGTGTTCATCCCCCTGCATCTTCAGCATGAGCTGGAGAAGGTTCTGGTAGTATTAGGATGTGTCACTCAGGATCTGCACAACTCTGTGAAGAGTGCTAAGGGTATAGAAGGCTGTTTCTGGGGATGGTTGATGGTAAGGTCATGTGTTCCCTGTCTTTCCTGTCTTGAATGATCACTTGTAGACTCATTTCCTAGCACAAAGCCTGTGCACTGTATTTAAGGCTCCAGAAGCTACCCATTTGGACATACAAGCATGGAAGAACACCACAGAAAAGATTTTATTACACTTTATAGATCATTCCTAATTTAGCACTGACAACACCCGAGTTAAATCAAGAGAATGAGGTCTCCAAAGCACATTTCATTACAAATACACTCTGTACTGAATTCATAGATAGAGTGACCACACCGCAGAGAGCAAAACTTAGGAGCTTAGAGTTAATCATGACTGAGAAATAATATGGTAGCTCTTACACGTTCTGGGTTAATAAAGAGGAGGTAAAATATTTAGTAAAACAAAAGCCAGAAAATCACAGCATTATACTCTGTGGCTCTCCTTTTGTGGATTGGGGCCAGCAAGTGTTTTCAGTACAGAGCCCATGGGCTCTGTTACACCTGTTCCATGCTGTTGGTTTGTTGTGAAAGTGGCCATGAACACCATTCACCATGGGCCGTGATTCGTAGACTCACTACTGGGTGGCTAGAATAACTAGTGGTATGTGAACGACTGTCCCCTAATTTTATTAGGAAAAAGACTTAACAAGTGTGATCCCATTTGCACCTCCCACTGGGACAGTCATGCGTGTCCCACTGGTGGTTCAAGCTGGTGGGATGTTCTGTGTTCCAAAAAGCTTTATCTGTGGACATTGAAATTTAAATTTCTGACAGTTTTCAGGTGACTTGAAATGTGAGTTTTCTTTTGATAATTTCCTTTTATTTTAATTTCCATTAAAAAGTATAAGAAATATTTTAGCTTACAGGCCAAACGGAAACAAATAGTTGACCAGACGAGACCTGTGGGTCATAGTTTGTCAGCCCTTGATTCTCATCTGGGTTGGTGGAACTATTCCTTTCTGAAGATGGTCTGTTTCTGAGGTGTTCAGCTCTGCAGTTTTCAGTCTCTTGATGGGATGGCATATCAGGGGTTGGAAAGTAAAATTTGTTTCACTGAGAGCCACAACTCCCAAGGATCTGTGCCCTGCAATTGAGCTTCTATGGTAGCAAAGTCCCTGATGGATCTATTTCCAACATAGTTTCAGGGTGTAGTGTATTCTCCAAGGTCATTCAGGCTAATGTCTGAATTCAGGTCAATCTACAGGAAGTGCAGCATATTTACTGGTAAGACTGAAGCATGTTGCATTGTCTGAAGTGAGGAAATGCCCCAGACAGAAGGGGCAACCTCTACCTCTACCCAGTGTGTCTGGGGAAAACCAGTGAAAACGGGGAGGAATGGCTGTTAGGCTGGGATGATGGAAAGTGATTCACCATTTGCTTTTTCCACTTTGCCTCAAGGCTAGGAAGATGGAGGACAGTGGACTTCTCAACAAACGATAAGGCTTTGCGAATTCTGTAGAAAAGTCCTGAAAACATGAGCGCCCCTGTCCCTGTGATCCCTGGAGATTGGGAATGTAACATCAAACGATGCTTTTTTTTTTTTTTTTTTTTTTTGCAATCTCAGAATTACCTCTCTGGTAAGAAGTTTCACTTCATTCAGAGAAGAAGAAAGCAGTGATGCGAACACATTCAGAACCTACACCACAGGAGTCAGTTTTAGGAAGTCCATAGGTAGGGATGTGCAGGTTCTTATCTGTAAGGAACTGTTTTATTAAGGTGGTGCTGGTGACATGAGATGTGCACCAGGGACATCATCAGCAGTCTTGGAAAAACTTCCCATGCTGAGTGTGGTTTTCAGTTTGTCTTTGTCTATAAGGGGTGAAGTCCACTGAGGTCCTCTGGTGCCACCAAGTGTCTGTCCTGAAAGGGATTTTCTTTGGTAATTTACCTTCATGGTGTTTTGTTGTTTTGGTTTTGGTTTTTTGTTTGTTTTTTCTATTTTTTCCAGACTCTGGAGCCATTTTGGGCTTTTCAAAGTAGCGTTGTCCAGTCGCTCCACCTTTGGCTTTTGGGATATAGTGGGGCCCAGCACCATGAAACATAAAACATTTGGTTTGGCCTGTGTGTGACCCCTTTCAGTGTGGATTCTTGACAGCTCCCCCACTTAGGAAGCTCAAGAGCACTGAATCTTCTGACCATCTGAGATAGTAATTCTTCCTGAGCTTAGAAGGCTTTGTTGTTTGTATTATTGGCATCTCCATAGCTGTTATCATGTTCACCCTTTTGTCTTTCAGCTTTGGGCAAGCTTTGCCCTATAATAGTGTGAGTTCTTCAATCTGTGCTGATTTTATTTCTCCTGAGGAATCACAGCATAGGTGTCAATTGAGATTTTTGCTTTGTGTCAAGACTGATATTTTTCCTTTCTTCTGTTTGTCAGTATCTAATAGGTCAGCTTGTACCAGAGCCAGTGCTCAGAGACTAGATTGTCATGAATTTTGGATAACAGGAATATCAGGCTTTACAAAAGTATCTGTATGGGCAAAATGTATTAGAAATGGAGTCAAAGATCTTTCATATAGGAAGTTACTGATTACTAAAGTATTTCTAGATCACTGTGTTGGTATATATAATCCTTTCTTTTAAGGCATAAATCATTAAACGTGTTTTCCATTCAGATCCTTACACATATTGTACATAAAGTGAATTTGATGCATGTGTATATACTCATACATATGATGAATAATGTATATAAAAGTGAGTCCCAGCACTCTGGGAAGCTGAGACAAGAAGATCACAAGTCTAATCCCAGCCCTGGGCAAAGTTGGTGACTTAGCAAGAGACCTGTCTCAAAAAAATAAATAAATAAAAAAGGACTAGGCTATTTCTCACATTGAAGGCACTGGATTCAATCTCATGTACTCTCATCACTGGTGCTGAGAAAAAGGTACAATAAATAGTGTATGTGTAGTTAGTGGGTATGGAATCCTAGAGGAAAAAGCAGTGTTTCTGACTTGGGGACCTGACGGTAATGTTCTCAGGCTGGAGTAAGGCGAGCCCATGGATCGTGAGATGCCCACTATCTGAGTAGCTCACTGACTCTGAGGAAGAGGCTTCAAATATTTAGAAACATTTTTCTCTGTAAATTTAAGGGTAAAATGAAAATTGGGTATATAATTCCGTCCTGGGACAGTGATTGATGTGCCACTTAAGTTTTTTTTTTTATATTCTTAGCTAGAGCAGGGCTGCTGCTTCTCCAGTGTCTTATCTGCTTATCTACATCTACAGCTGGCTTTCCCAAGGCAAGCCCTCTTCCCGCCTGCTAGCCTAGTAGCAGTGATTAGCTATTTTAGCAGTAAAGTCAGCAGGCTATTATTGGCTTTTATTCTAAGCCTTTTTGAAGATCTGAATTTGGGGTTCTGGTTATAATTTCTATTCAAGTACTTGCTGCATATTAAATCCCCTACTTTGGATCTAACACTGTTCATGAAAAGAAGAGAGCTAGAGGTCAATTTTTCAGAATCTGTCCTCACAAAACTCATTCCTGAGTCTCCAATGCACTTACTCATGTTTGGTGGTAGGATTAGAGAAGAGTATTTTCCTTTCATAGCAGAAATTTTGGGGATAGCTTCTGAGAGATTTTGCCCAACACTGCAGCTTTTCCAAATCCATTTCCTATGCAGGTGGAAATTTTTCTAAGCTGTACTTGGAGTTTTCTCATTTTGCCTTTCTCATTCTTTTTCAGCAGACAATAGGAGCCAATTGATATATATCTGGAAACAGGCAGTATTATTTTTAAAGTTAGCTATGAGACAAAATATTTTCAAGTAATTACAAACTTCTGAAGCCAGAATGAGAAAAAGTCCCTGATACACTCTTTAGCTCGGGGTGGAATAATGACTACATAGTCACAGCAGTGTAAATACGGACTGCGGGGCTTCGGAACAGTTCTGAGGTAACTCTGTTGACAGAGTAGGGGAAGATTTAGAAAAATGGTTGTATAAGGAAACTAAACATACAGTACAACATGAGGCCAGTAGACACACTTAAAAATTCTTATTTTAGTTTCCTAATACATGTTTGTAGTGCACAATGTTAGATTCCTTGTGGGAGGTTGGTATATGTACATGGCACATCCCGTTCCTCTTTTTTTCATCTCTTTTCCATTCCATTCCTCCTCTTCCTGCCATCTTTTTTTTTTTTGGAAGATTTATCTTTGTTTTTATATTTTTGGTGTCAGGAATCGAACTCAGCACTTGCGCTTGCCAGGCAGGCACTGTGCCGCTCGGATCTATATCCCCAGGTCCACTCCCTCCATCTCTTGATCTCTTTCTCCTCTGAGAACTATCTGTCTCCTTACTTCCTATTTTGTATCTTTTATTTTGCTGTTTACTTTTACTCTGTGTTTCTCATATAAGAGAATCCACGTGATATTTAAGCTTGTGTGTCTGAGTTATTTCACTTGACATTATGATCTCAAGGTGTATTCATTTTCCTACAAATGACTCAAGTCTATCCTTTATGGAAGAGCACTATATGGTGTGTAACTGCATTTTTAAAAATCCATTCATCTCTTGATGGGCATATGGGCCACTTAAGAGATTAACTTTTAAAATTGGTAAACCAATGTATTGTTTCAATATTTTGAGGAAAATAAAGATTTGAAAGTGGCTGGGCATAATGGTGCCCACCTTTAATCTTGGCTACTTGTGAGGCTGAAGCAGGAGAATCACAAAGTAAAGGCCAGCCTGATCAACTCGATGAGCCTCCATCTCAAAATAAAAAGTAAGAGTTAGGAATGTAACCTAATGGAAGGGTGCTTCCCTAGCATATAAATTGCCCTGGATTGAACTGGAAGGAAAACATCAAAGTGGTTACCACCCTTTGACCTATTTTTTAATGATGAGAATTACTAAACTTTGAAAAGGTAGAAGAAATGTATTAAATCTTTTTGATCTAGAGGATAGGACAAATAGCTTCCACCATAAAGAAGGAAAATGGAATCCTTTTTTAAATGTCCTGTGGTAGCTTTTGTTTTGCAAAAAAAAAAAATTCAGAGTTTAAAATATGTATGTATTTTCATGCGAACATTTGTGTACAGATAATAAAAATGGTTACTTTTGGGATCCTAAGACTGTAATTAGCTTATGTACCAAGATTGTTAATTATAATGCTTTTGGTTACAAGATATTTTCTTGAAGAAAGCTTTCAAGGCTCAAAAAAAAATTGTGATGCTGGAGATTGAACCCAGAACTTTATGAATGCTGGGCAAGTGCTCTACCAGGCCCAGAATCTAAAAGTTTAAACAGTAGTAGCTGGGGACTTAGCTCAGCTGCATAAGTACCTGACTGGTAAGCATGAGGTTGTGAGTTCGATCCCCAGTACCAAAAAATAAATAAATATAAATAAAAAATAGTTTAAACAGCAGTATAATATTTATCATGAAGAAGCAACTGGAAACAAAATGTTCGTATGATGATTTTATGACAAAAAATCTAAGTTGTTTTAACTTGTAATTTTTAAAATAGGAAACTCTTCAGAATCAAAAGGAAGCATTAGTAAAGCAACACAAAGAGGCAACAGAAGTTTTGAAAAAGCAGGTAATTTCACAAACTATATAGCTTTAAAAATTGTATTTCCTCTCTCTTCCTTGAATATCATGACAAGCTGTTTTTTACCCACAATAGACAAATAAAAAAGAGTATTACAAAAAGTAGGAAATAAATTATTTTGAGTCATAACTGACAATAAAATCATAAAGAAAATTGGGAACACTGTTTCCTTGTTGATGTAGGATATATGTTCTCACTGGTTTTAAGTGATTTAGGTGAGTAGAGTGTGTGTATTCTTGTTCTTTCTCTCCCATTTTCTCTGTTCTATTAGAATGTCCTAGAATCTTATCTTTTCCACATTACTCCATTACCAAAGTCAGAGTCTGATGAAGAGCTGAGACACAGGAAGGAGCTCTGAAAGTTGAGGGGAGGTGATTATCACACATGAAGCCTCTGTAAATATCAACCACCAGTGACTAAGGAAGAGTAGGGAAAAATAAAAAAAGGTTGAAGAATGACTGGGCACACTTTCAGTTCATTTGAGCTCTATAACCCTTCTTCATCACCTGAGATTTCTCTTCAGTCCCTAGTTAGACAATAATAGTTTAAGAAAATGTGCCCATGTACTGATATCTATCCCATTGTTCTTATTTTTTCTCCCTTTCTTTCCCTCTTTTCTGTCTTTATCTCCATACAAGTGTGTATTTGGAAGAAGAAATGCAGCTAAAGAAATAAGCCTATGCAATCTACATCACTCCTATGTTAAGGTTATTGCTAATTTACATCTAGACATGAATCTGCTTTGACAAATGACAGACTATATTAAAGTTTTAAAGAAAAGATAAGGAACCAGAAGCCAAAAGTGTAGCACGTTGTCTAGGAAAAACAAGTCTATGCCTCAACTATCATAAAGGATTTGGAGTAAGACTATGCAGGTAGTGAAAGTGTGAGGAGAAATGCACTGGGGTCTCTTTGTTTGTTTTTCCAGTGTTGAGTGTATCAGTTAGGGTTCACTCAAGAAACAGGTTAATATAGATAGATAAATGGATAGATAGATAGATAGAAGATAGATAGATAGATAGAGATTAGATAGATACAGGTTTACAGAGTAGACTTAAAATGGCCGCCTAAAGAATTGTATATCAGTTAGCATTCACTCAAGAAGCAGATTAATATAGATAAAGATATAGGTAGATATAGATTTACAGGATAGACTTACAGTGGCCACCTGAAAAATCAGGTGTGGGAGGATGTGAAAGGTTTGTGTATGCTGCAGAGCCAAAGAGTCCAGAAGTTAAAGGCTGGAGATCACTGCAGAGTTCTGTGTGAGTTTGTCACTGGAAGCTGAAGGGTCCTTGCTGGGATGCTTGAGATGAACATCCAAAGATTGTGGTAAAGACTGAAGATCACCAACAGAACAGTAGCAGGACTTCCTTCTTTCCTTTTTATTCAATCCAAACTATAAGCCTACTGTTGGTACCACCCACATCCAGAGTGTCCTCTGTCTTCAGTATGTCAGTTATCCATACTCAGCCAGAACTGTGCTAAACAGAACTTCTTATTCAAATTGACACTGCAATTATCTGTCACACTGGAGACCAAAGCCAGGGCCTTGAAACATGCTAGGCAAGCACTCTACTCCTGAACTATGTCCTTAGCTCTGTGTTTGTTTTAAATAAAGCATTTCAGAGTACAAGGAAGTTACAGATATGTCACCTTCATTGGGTTAAGAAATGTCTAGTAGAGTAAACATTAGATTAGTGTTCAAGTGGGTCATAGAAGTGTTGTGTTTGGTGTTATACATGTTACCCTGTTTGTTTCCCAGCTGTCATAAACTAAGATTTGCTCCACCACACCCTTCCATCATATTCTTGCCTGGGAGCCAACTCACCATATACTGAGTTCCCCCAAATCATCATCCAAATTAAACTTGTCCTCCTTTAAATTGTGGGTGGTGGGTATTATGTCTTAGCAACAAGAAAGCTGGATAATATGGAAAATTGGTACCAGAGTAATTGGGTCATTGCTATAATTTTATCTAATCATTTGGTTTAAAATCCTTTAGAACTAGTTTGCGTGCAGAGTTTGGAAAGATTCAGAGACACAGACTAGAGAAGCCAATGAATGCTATAAACCTAAAAACAGAACTCAATGAGTGATTCTGATCGGAGCTAAAAAGACTTGGATGTTGATAGGAATGCGGAGAGTAAGTCCAAGATAAGTAGGTTTAATTTTGAAAAGAGGGTTCCATTGGCAGTTAAACTAGAAGCCACACTTGTGACATTCTGGCAGAAAAATTGTCTACATTATAATGATATCCTGATACTTTACAGAACAGTCAGTGAGATTTAAGAGTCATGGACTAATTAATCTGCTGGAGGAAATTTCGGGATAGTTTAACATTTAGGCTATAGCATGGGTACTGCTGGCTGCTTAGGTAGCATTATAGTGAGAGTTGGGGGCAAAAGACATAGCAGAAATTTTTGAGACTCAAATTTTGCCCCAAAAGGAACCATTTGCAAAGTTGAGGGAAAAAGTGCTGCTGAAGAAATTAGTGCCATTAAAAAAGGAACCAAATATTTGAACAGGGATAAGAAGAAAGATGTCTTGAAGGAATCTCAAAAATTTGCAAGACCCTGCTAATCACAGGTTTAAAGGTGCAAATTCATAAACCTTTCATTTGAAAAGATTGTCCCTGGGCCTCCTGGATAGAGCTTCCTCAGGAGTTGGTTGGTTCCCAGGATTCATTTCGCTGTGCTCAGCTATCCAGACACAAATGCTAATGCTTAAATTGGCCCTAACCAGGGGGCTTGGCTACTGCTCAGTGTGGTAGCAGGCCTTGGTGCTATCCATATATATATACTGCTGGTTTTGTCAGTATGCAAAATGCAAGAGTTGTGGGGTCAAAGAAGCTTCTACCTAGATGTCAAAGGAAGGCATGGAAAGCCAGATGAGGAGCCTCTGCCAGGGTAGTGTGTGAAACTGTCGGAATAAAGTCAAAAGTGCAGTGGAGACCCAGGAATAAGAGATGCCAGGACTGTGGACCATCTGCCAAGGAAAAATGGAGGCTGGGAGTGGATCCAGCATATGAGGCCATATGGCTGGGCTACAGCCAGCAAGGCCAAGGAGGTGGGGTTGCCTAAACCCTTTAGAACTTGTCTCAGCATCACGGGCCTTGGGTCCCCGAGACGGAGCTATAGGATTTGTCATGTGTTCTGCTGGATTTCAGCCTTGCTTTGGTACAACTCTTTTCTTTCTCTTCCTCCCTTTTGGAATGGACATATTTGCCCTTTGCCATTGTACCTGGAGATTATGTAACTCATTTTTTATTTTTATAGAGATTCCCAGATAAGACTTTGTCTTAAATCTCACTGAAAAATGCTGGAACTGTTGAGACTTTGGAATTCCATTTATAGGCAAGATAGTTATGTTAGGCAGAATTACTAATTTACTATTGTATCTATTTGGAAATTAATATGGCTTAAGGAGACCTGTTTAGGTATGAAGTTGATAAGGGGTAGAATTTGACCATTAATCCTACTTTGTAAACTATATTGGATTAAGAAACATGTAGCAGATTAAGTGAGTCTGGGTGTCTTGGAGGTGTGACTGTGGATACTGTGCATGGTCCCTGCCTCTTCCTCTGGCATTGCTGCCATGCCCTGCTTCCCAGTCACCATAAAGTAGGCATTGCTTGTTTACACCTTCTGTTAGGATGTTCCCAGCCAGCCCTGGGCTGAAACCTCTGAAACCATGAGCCAAATTAAACCTCTCCTGTAAATGGTGGGTGTGAGTCTCAATGATAAGAAAGCCAACTCATACAGCTGGAAAAGATAGATGAACATTCAAAAAGAATTTTCCTGTCTTGCCAATTCTGCTAATATCCTAGAATTACATATTTTACAGTTTTCCTTTGGTGTGTACACTTCAGTTTTTCTGAAAAACTGTGTCATAATTTCAAAAAGGTTATTTCACTATTATGTACATTTAAAATTAATTTTAATTAATTTAATACTTAAGTACTATGGAAATAAAAATAGTGCTAATTTCATAAATTTCTACCTTCAGAATATGCTACATAAATTTCTACCTTAATATGCCTCCCTATCATCTAATAATATGAGAAAATACTCAGATATTTAAGACATCTTATGGAAGAGAACACTAAGCTTTGAAAGACTATTGGTGTCCCTAATGATAAATAAAGTGTTCACTGATACTGTTGATTGGCATTCCCCCACTTATATCCCCATTGTTTTATCTTTTGGGTGTAGAAGTAGTATACCTACATTGTGTTAAATTCAAACATTGTGGGAATGTAAGATGTTTCACTTGTATTATTGACTGTCATAAATCACTAATAGTTTATTTTACCTGCATTTTAATTTTAAAAATTATCAGTTGCAAATGAAGATGTGTGCCTTGGAGGAAGAAAAGGTATTTATTACTTTGTAACTTATTTTGAACCATACTAAATGAACTTATTATTTGTTCACTAAAAATCATTAATAACAAATGAAAATGCTGATTGCTTAAAATTCCAGAAACAGAAAGCGTATCAGGTAATTATGTTATTTGACATCTGTCATTTTATAGTACAGACCGCTGTACCAAGACCTAACATGATTAAATGACTTGCTGTGACAAAGTTGGGACTAGAACCAAGATTTTCAGCTCCCAAATAAATATGCTTTGTATTCTACTGTAATATTTTTATTAAATATATTTAATGCTTTTTTATTGTAATTGCCTTTTTCAAAAAACACTGAAATGACTGACATCTGGCTTACCAACTGGGAAAGGACATGTGTCCCAACAAACCTTAGAAAGTTTATTTGGAACTAAATATTTTCTCTAGCTATTTTATATATATATATATATTTTTTTTTTTTTTTGTCTTTTTCATTTTTATCGGTACCGGGGATCAAACTCACGACCGCCTGCTTGTAAGGCAGGCGCTTATGCCGCTGAGCTAAATCCCCAGCCCATATATATATGCCAATAATATATAATTTATAATATTAATAATTCATAGCTTATTTATAGCAAAAAGGTTATTAAAAAGTTATCTTCTGTCTTTATTATTCAGATGCACTTGTACCTTATTAATTGGAATATAGCTGGACTTCTGTATCTGTGGATTTCATTTTTATGGGTTCAACCAACTATTCACTGAAAGTACTAGGGAAGAAAAGAACATGCATAGATTTTCTTTCTGTTATTCTGTGAACAATGTAGAAGTGCAACTACTTACATAGTATTTATATTGTCTCTGGTATTATAAGATACAAGTAAGCTAGAGATGATTTAACAAATATGGGAAGATATGTGTAGGTAATATGCAAATACCATGCCATTTTATATAATCACCTTAAGAATATTCAGGTTTTGGTATTTGTGAAGGTCTTGAAAGGAATTTCTTGCAGATTCTGGGAGGTGAGGGTATATTTATTCTAGCTGTTAAGAGTTAAGTAATTATGTAGTGTCTATAAGTTCTGGGAATTCTCTACTATAAAGTGATTTGTCATTTCATATTTCATTTCATAATAATTATAATTATATAAAGGTCTTATTGTAACTTTTGATATTTTTAAGCCATTAGAAATGTAGGTTGGGGTTTAGCTCAGCGGCACAAGCACGTATCTGGCAATCATGGGGTTGTGAGTTCGATCCCCAGTATCAAAAGAAAAAAAGAGAAAAAGCAAAGTAGTTTGTCATATAGGTACAAGCCTATGAAATATTAGGCTTGACATGTAGAGACTTTGGTTCTTGAGTTCTTAAATTTTCCTTTATTCTGTATACATTAGGAAGTACTAAAAATATGGTCTTTTATTTAAAGGGAAAATACCAGCTTGCTACAGAAATAAAAGAAAAAGAAATAGAAGGATTGAAGGAAACATTAAAAGAGTTACAGGTAATGTAACTTAGTATTACTTAAATAATTTATTCAGAAAAAGCAATGTGCAAATTTAGCATAATATGAATAAACACTATTAAATATGTAAGTTAGCATGGCAAAGCTGACAAAAACTGTCATGTGATACATTATATAATTTAATAGATTTTCTGTGAACCCTAAATGTCAAACCAGGATTTTTGCTGTATCTTTTATTTAAAAATATTTAAGTAACTTTTATTATCTTTAATAGTAATAAAATTGTAGTTTTCTATCCTGGTAGCAGAGTAAGTGGGCTATGTTGTCTGCAGTGACCCCAGCAGGGGAGTGGCGATCCATGTTAGGTGACGGGAGTTCATGCAGACTCTGACTGGCTACTCCACCCAGAGGTCCTGTTACCTGGTTAGAAAGTAATACAGACCCAGGTGCTTCCTGGGAAATGAGGAGACTGGAGTCACGGTTTCCACTCTGCGACCCTCACATGCATTCTTGCCAGAGGCATGCAATCTGTGAGGACCCACATAAGTGCAGTGTTAGCAGAAGGTGTGTTCTTCCTTTCTGCTGCTACTGTAGGGGGTGTTTGGCTAGGAGTGCAACCTCAGGAAGCCAAGAGCTTTTATCCTCCTGTTCTTTAAGTTGAAGTATTCATCAGGGTTGCAATGTTACTGTGTTGTGACTGGATCTGAGCACAGTCCCTGTGAGCTAGGCTGGGAGTGTAGCTCAGGAATAAAGCACCTGCCCCATGTGTACAGGCCCCTGGATCACATACCCAGCACCACCAAAACCAGAAAATGACCCTCACACCCCAAAAAAGCTTTTAGCTAAAGTGCTTGGAGGGTTTAATGGGACAGATGATCATGATTGTACCAAACAAAGCTTCTCTCCTGGCCTTAGCCAGTGTCCTCCAGGGGTATAGCATTAGCCCAGGGTCTCTTACCCTCCCCCAGTCCTTTCTGACATGGTGCTTAGCAGGTACTGAGCTGGGGCTGAATCACAGCATGCTTGAACAGACTAGTGCAGAGGGCAGGCAGCATCAGTGCTCCCAGTGCACAGTTATCCACTGGTAAGGAGTTCTCAGATATGTGAGTTATTTTGTGTTTTGGAGAAGGAACAGAAGAACAAGTAATAAAAATAAAGTTCCCGGGGCTGGAGATTTAGCTCAGTGGCATAAGCGCCTGCCTTGCAAGCAGGCAGTCATGAGTTCGATCCCTGGTACCGATAAACAGGAAAAAGACTAAATAAATAAATAAATAAATAAATAAATAAATAAAGTTCCCAGAGTTGGGAAGGTGAAAAAAGCATCCTTATCAACAAAAGGTTCTGAAGTAAGTAGACATACAAATCAACAAAAATGTTACATACAGACATATACCCTTCACAAAAGTGAATGCAGAATGGGTCACAGACCAGAATGTATGGCATAAATATCCTATGAGATCATATAAGAGAAAACCTAGATGATCATGTGTTTGTTGATGACATTTTAGATATAACATCGAAGTGATGATCCATGAAAGACACGATAATCTAGGCCTCACTAAAAATTAAAAGCATCTGCTCTTAAAAAGACACTATCAAGAAAGTGAAAGAAAATTATAGATAAAAGATTCGTGCTGGATGTGATGGTGCACGCCTGTAATCCCAGCATTTAGGAAACTGAGGCAGGAGGATCCTTGCCACAAGTTTGAGGGCACCCTGAGCTACAAGGTGAGTTCAAGGCCAGCCTGAACTTCGTAGCAAAACCCTGTCTGGAAAGGACGACGGGGGGAAAATATATCTAGTAAAAGGCTGCTATTTAACATATACAAAGAACTTTTTAAAACTAAGTATAAGATAGCAACCCAACAAAAAACAGGCTGAAGATCTTTTCTTTCTTTTTCTTTCCCTTTGGGTTCTGAAGGTTGAACCCAGAGCCTTCACATTGAGCTACATCCCCATGTTTTTATTATTTTTAGTCAGGGTCTTGCTAATGTCTCAGTTATTTTTCTCTCTCGTTGCTGAGACAAAATACCTGACACCCAAAGTTAGGGGTGGGAAGCTTTATCTCTTATAGGTTAGAGGTTTCAGTTCATATTCAGCAGGCTACAAGGCAGGATGGCATGCCTGAGGAGCAGTGGATCATGGCCACCCCTGCAGCAAAGTCTGAACTAGGCAAAAAAGAGAGAGACACTCAGTCTTACCGCAGTTACACTGTATATTGGCTCCACCCCTGGGTAAGTGTAGCATTCACACCACCAATCCCAGTGCTAGACAACAAACCAATCACAAATGCTAGATTTGGCCATGACTGTGATTACATGAGATTTGGGGGAAGCCACTGACGTAAACCATAACAGCTAGGTTGCTGAGGCTCAAACTTTAAATTCTTTTGCCTCAGCCTTTCAGAGTGCTGTCATGACAAGCACACACCACTCAGCCTGGCTAAAACATGCCAAAGATCCTAACAGACACCTCACCAAAAACAATACACATACAGATGATAGAAGCATATGGAAAGATGTCCCTTATATCATCAAGAAAATGTGAATTAAATCACTGAAGTAGCACTCCACACCAGTGAGAAGACCACACTCTGGAGCAGTAACACCAGCAAGTATGGGAGAGAACAGAGCAGCAGGCGCTCTAGGTCATTCTGCTAGGAAAGCTTGGTGGTGTGGCTTCCCGAGAGCCATTTAGACTGTTATTACAAAACTAAACTCGTCAAAGCAAATCACACTCCTTGGTGTTAAACCAGACAAACTAAAAACTCCTATGCACAAGAAAACCTGTGCATGGACACTCATAGCAGCTCTATTCATATTGTAGACCTCGGGAACAATCAAAGCGTGTTTTGGGAGTGAACAGATAATGAGTGGCAGTACACCAAACTCTGGAATGTCAGTCAGCATTAAAAGAAATGGGCTAGCAGTCAGTCTGTAGGAGGACGAGGAGAAACTTCAAGCTAATCTGGAGAGGCTGTGACTCCAAATCTCTGACATTCTGGAAAAGGGGAAACTTGTTATTGTGGAAAACAGTAAAATGGTCAGTGATGCTGAGCTGCGGAAGGAGGGATGACAAAGCAGAGCATGGGCATGGTTAGGACAGGGATGGCTCCAGGTGGAGTGGTAAGGTCGTTGCAGTTGTCCAGAGCCACAGCGTGTACACTGACCCATGTGTGCACTTGGGCTGTAACGACATGTCTCCGTGGATCCAGCAGTTGCAACAAGGTGCCACTGCAGTGGGGAGAGGCCCATGGGAGGCTGCTTATGTGTGAGGTCAGGGAGTCTGTGGGTACCTCTGTCTCCCTCTCGATTCTACTGTGAATCTAAATATAACGCCCACCAAGTCTTACAGAAAGCATCCCCAGTCCTTCAACTTTCTGAATGCAGTGACAGTCAATACTTTTATTACCAGAATATGGGTCCCCTTTTTCTTGTTTTTTGCAATTTTCATTTGTTTCTGCAGTGTGATAATTAGTATCTTACTCACTTTTGAAAAATGTAAGGCATGATCACTTGAAGTTACCTTCTCTGACAAAGTTTGTGGTTTTCCTTTTGTGTCTTGTGAGAAGGTAGGGATCTAATCTTGTCCTACACATCCCTCCTCTTTCCCTTCCCTCTTCCTTCCCTTCCTTCCTTCTTCCCTTTCTTTTCTTTAGTCCTGGGAATTGAACCCAGGACCCTTTGCACTGAGCTACATTTCCAGCCCTCTGAACAACCTTTGTTTTTAGGTTTTGAGACAGGGTCTGGCTAAGTTGCCCAGGCTGGGTTCAAACTTGCAATCTTCCTCCCTTATCATCCCAGGATGCTAATAATGGGTATGACCATGTCTGGCCACTGCTTCATCTCTGTGAAGATGCAGTATTTTACGTAATTTCCTTAGATCTATCTTCTAGCTCACTAATTCTTCTACTGTGTTTTACTTACCATATAATTTATCCATTGATATTTTTATGACTATATTGTTCTTCTATGGAAGTTTTATTTGATATGTTTTCAAATCTGCTTTTTTACACTATCTTATACTTTTCTTATACTTTTTATTGTCTCATCTTCAAACATTTTGAATAATTTTATAATGTCTTTGAAATTCAGTTATCTCTGATTATTTGGGGGTGATTAACAAGTCTTCCTTTTTGCAGTGTCTGTCTGCTGAATCTTCCTTATTGTAGATCTTCCTTTTTAATGTGGCTCATAAATTTTACATTGTGATCCCCTCTGGAGCAGCGGTTGTGATTTCCTGGTGAGGCTGTGTTGTGAATTCTTTCTACAGAGCTCCTCTAGGTTTGCTTTTGCACTGAGCCCTAAAGGTTTTGCTGAACAGTCCTCCACTGGCCCATTAGTTTATTGGCTGAGCTTCTGTACTGAGCTCTTCATTCCTTTTGTGCCATTCACTGAGCGGCTTCGGTTTCTTAAGGGATGAACCAGGCTTTTTTGTGCTGGTGGCTCCATTTTTCAGGCCTCTGTTCTGGAGTTGCAGCTCTTCCTGGCCCTTTTATCCCCAGTGTTCCTGAGCCCTTGGCTCTATGCTGTGTGGGGCCCTTGAGTCACCAGAGCTTCAGCTTGCATACTTTTAATGCTCACTTTGGGTTTCTCTTCTTGTTTTAGGCATATGCAAATGTTCTTGGCTTTCTTTTGAACTTAAGTTATATATTATTTTTCATTGATGCTATTCTTTTTATTTTAAAGAGAATAAAACCAAACAGAATAAAGCCAATCAGTTATGTTTTTTCAAACATTTTATATCAGTTAATTCCACAATATTTTTAAAGTCACTTAATTTTCTCTTTTGAAATTATCATAAATTTATGGAGAAGTTGGAAATACAATCCATAGAACTTACTTCTCCAGAGTAATCATTTGCCAACCTGATCCATCACCCTGTGACTGTAGTATGTATCTTCATTACAGTCAGGGACATTATTCTATAAAACTATAGCAAACCATCAAAATCAGGAAATTAACATTGGTGCGTAACTATAATGTCCAGGACCCATTCACTTTTACCAGTGATCTCAATAAAATATTTTATAGCAGAAA